GCATCGTGCAGCATGCCAGGCTGTGCAGATGCACCATGTACAGTCTCGCCTGTGGTCTAAAAAGATTGGAAACAAAGGGATCTGGTGCTGTGCACTGAAGCCGTCTGTTCTGACGAGCTGTGGAAAAATGAGTTATGCATTTGTGTTCATTTTTGGGGTTACAAATTTGGCTTTATGCATGTAAGCAAAATTATTTGCTGCTTAAATTCCTGCACAATTTTGGTCCTGGGGAAGTATAAACTATCTTTCTCTATTACAGTTCATTAAAATGTTCGAGAAACAATTATGAAACCTAGTTTGGATTGTAAAAGGTGTAGGATATTTTCAGTCTGTGGTGTGAAGAATTCATACAAGGCATACAGTCTGTTCTGCATTAGTGTGTTTCAGATCAGCATGTGAGTGTTTCCTGCCTGGAGTTAGAGGAGGGGGTTAAAGGAAATGGAATGGCACACTTTCTGCTCTGTGTCCTGTTGTGCTGCCTCTATAGGACCACAGGATTTAGGGCACGATCCTGGTGGAGTTCGAGACAAGAAGAAGGTTGAGCGGAGTGAATCTGTGTCAGCTTGCTCTCATCTCATCGTTTGTTTTCTATATTCATGCAGAGCAGCGGGAGTTGAACACCGTGTACTTGCTGCTCGAGCTGCGAGAGAAATGTTTTTACAGTGACTTTGGAATTTAGATAAAATAAAATAAAACATTGTTGAAATTATTTGAAACCAAGCATGAAACCATTCGGCCCCATATATTGTTACTCTGGGAGATAAATGTAAGCTACAATTTTGTGTTTTCTGCCTCTGTATTCTGCGGTTGTGTGTTTTACTAGAATATCACTGCCAAAGCAAAAGGGTTAACTGACTCTTAAGCCAAATAAAAGACAAATTTCATCCATCACTAGTCTAAAATTGGTTAACTGTATCTCTACTTTGCATGCGAGCACATGATTGGACAACTTCACGCCCATGACGTGCAGGTAATGAAACTAGATGAATGAGCCCATGGTGGAAAAACTATGCATCCATTTGTCTCCAAGTTCTCCTTTTTTGCCTTTTTCTAGGAGAGAGAAGAGGGGTAAAACACATTTCCCCTAAGACTTCTTCTTATTCCACTGTTTTGGACACTGAGCTGTTATTGCATATGAAGTAAATGGGGGGAAAGGCTACAGTGAGAGGCACAAATCATTTGACTAAACCACCAGCCGCCTGGTTGCAATGACAAATGGCTGCGGCTCTTACATGTTAAGTTCCAGAGCACGAGCTCTACCGTTTATGATGCATTATGAGTTGTCAAGCACAGAAATACTCCACTTGACAGACCATCATTGTCTCATGGATGTGTGCACGCCATGTCTCCATGACTAAACATGCAGAGAGAGCATGTGTCTGTGTGCGCGTGAGTGTGTTTGTGTTTGCATGTGTGTTATAAACGACCGACAGGCAGCCACCGCTCGTTCATTTCCTGCTGTAAATCTAACTGATCCACTACCTGTCATGTTTGCAGCTGATCTTGTCATCCTGCAGCCATCAACTAGTATTTCGCTTCTATGCAGATGTGCAGAGGCAGGTTGTGTCACAGGTAACACTGACAAAACTGTCTACATACAGTATATATATATGTGTGTGCATATACATGTTTACATCTATTTTCAATATATCTCCTTATATACTTTTACTATTAATAATTACTATTATTATACTCAATGACAGACATTCTTATGTAAAAATCTACTTTTCCACTGGTACCTTTCTCTACAAATAATATATCTATCTGTATTCAGAGTTTTAAATTAAGTCATATTGCATTATTCTATTTTATACTTTCACACTCTTGTCTACCTCATTCTGACTATCTGCTGCTGCAACAAGTGAATTTTCCAGACAAGGGTTTTTTATCGTATCATATTGTATTGTATTGTTTAGTATTATGTCGTATTGCATTGCATTGCATCCCTGCACCCTCATCTAATCTTTTATAAACATCTTGTCTTATTAAAAAAATAAATAAAACCAATTAGAGGAAAAGCTTGATGTGAAAAACCTTATTCCTCGGACAAATGTTTTGCTGACTGCCAGCAAAATGGATTGCTCTCCGTACAGGTGTGTTATGAACAAGCTGCCTGTGATTGAAAAGCTTTATTTCATGCTCGGCAGATTTGTAAATGAGGGGTTGTGTTTAGTGGAGGGAGGAGATTGTCGTGTGTGCGCCTGTGTGTTCTGGTGTGTTGTAGCAAGAGGTGATGATGGGATTTCATGAATCACAGCGTGTAAGGTAATACTTTAGCTCTCTGGGATATCATAGGGGTTATTGCTGCATTTAAACATGACTAAAATTAGGAAAGGTTCTGCGGTTCTGTGTGTGCGCGCACTCAGAGCATTGGTGCTTATTTTACAGTGTTGACATCACCCGTTAGTAATGAGCTATCATACTGTTGAAGCAACTTACTCCTCGCCAGCAGTGGTTTATATTTTGCAGCTCTACAATTTATTTTACAACCATAGAACACTTTATGTGGAATTGGTTTCCTGTTCTGATCTTCAAAACGTAGTGCACGAACATCAAAATCACCAACTTATATGAGAGTCTTACCTGTTTCTGGCCTGGGTGGCAAGCTGCAGTTTCAGCTGGGCTGCAGCAGTCTAGCAGAGGTCAGTGTGGGCTTTGAGCCAATGCCAGTATCTTACATAAACCACCACAGTGAAGAATGTGTCTGGGCGCACTTCACAGGAAACACACACACACAAGTGCTAACACACAAAGTGCAAGAGAAGTATTGTTTCCTTTTTGCGTTGGTGTTTGCTGCACGCACTCAAACGCTCTTTTGCAGAAGCACACGTCACTATTTTTGACCTTCTTCCAACTGATGTCATGCTCAGTCTTCTCACCAGGCTCCCTGTGTGTGACATCGAAGGTTATTGGGTGAGAAATGGTTGCAGCAGGTCATAAAGCGAAGGTCAGCAGCAGAGAGGGGAGATAATAAAATCCTGTGAGTGTTAATTGCGAGGGACTGCCTCCCTCTCCTCGCTCTTGCCAGCCCTCTCCATGGCTAGCGAGGGGGAGAAAGAGAATGAAACCATTATAGCTGCCTCAGTACCATCTCGTCTCGGCTGCTCGGCACATCATCCCGCGAGTCGGGTTGTGTCCAGTCAGGCCACTTCCCACAGCCGGCTAATGTGCTGTCATCCAAGCCTGACTGTGGCTCCTATAACTCCCTCTGACCCTCGGTGAAATCGATATTAGAGGAGCCGTTAAAACCTGTTGGAGTTATTTAGCTGGCTCTGTGTCTTTCTGCAGTCTGAGTTCTCCTCTTGAATCACTATCAGCTAAAATCTGTCCCCTCTCCATCCCTCGGCAGCTGTGGCTCAGCAGGTAGAGAGAGTCGTCCACTAACCAGGAGGTCAGTTTAATCTCTGACACCTCCAGTCCGCGTTTCAGTCTGCAATTACTGAACCCCAAATTTGCCCCCTGATGGCAATATCACACACCATACGCTGACAGCTGTGCCCAAAGTTTATGGTTTGTGATATAGAAGTGTTGTATGAATGTGTGTGAATGTGTCACTTACAGTGTAAAGTGCTTTAAGTGGTGAGACTGAATAAGGGTGACAGTCCATTTATCATTAGATTTTTACCATTTATCTTGTCCTTCCCTCATTCTGTCTACTTTTCTGTCTGTGTCTTCACTTTGTGTTCTGTCACATCTCATTTTTTTTTTTCTCTCTTTTCGCAAATATTCTTATTTGCAACCGATGATAGGTCATGATGGTCATGGTGACAGTTTTTCATTTAAAGGTTCAGTGTGTAGAATTTAGTGACATCTAGTGGTGAAGTTTCATGTTGCAGCTGAATCCCCCTCACCTCACCCTCCCCTTCCAAACATGACAGAGAACCTGTGGAAGCCTTAAGTTGTGAAAAAACTTAGTTTAGTTTGTCCAGTTTGGACTAATGTAAAAAACATGGTGGCCTCCGTAGAGAGGACCTGCTCCCAATTTATATATAAAGTACTTAGATATGAAGTGTGCCCATTATAGGGTAAAGAAAACAACAGTCAGTATAATTTAGATGAAACACACTAGTGAAAACATCACTAGGATTCATTTATATTCAGTTTCTGCCAATACACTGGACCTTTAACCATTTATCTCCTTTCCATTTAACGCTGAAAAACGTTATAAATTCAAAAGCAGACACTCACTTCTGAGGAATCACTGTCCTCTGTTGTGGCATAAGATTCATTTAAACTCATATTTGAGGGTGATTCACTACTCAGCAGTCTAGCCACAATCCAATCAGCTCATTTCTATTTGTAGGCACAGTGATTAAATGTTTATATTAAAACTGTCAGAGCAGCACAGAGCTTGTGTGAATTTCTTTCCTCTACAGTATTCATCCCGTCTTCTTCAGTGAAACATCCAATCACCAATAAGATCAACCCTATAGAATTTATGATGCCATATCGTGTGTGTGTGTGTGTGTGTGTGTGTGTGTGTGTGTGTGTGTGTGTGTGTTCGTGTTCTCAAGGGATATCTGATGACATCATCTGCTAACTGCATCTGCAGAGAGGCGGACTCTCACCAGTTCACTTGCAGCCTCATATATTCAGTGGTCAAAGCTGTGGTTGTTATGGCTAATGTGTTTTTTTTATTAACTGCTGCATTATAGTGTTCAGTTAAATATTGTACATTTATACAGAATTCACTATTTCTTATTTGTACTTTCCACTGCTTTGTTTTCCATTAGCCACGATTTGAATGACTTTTTTCTGAATAATAGAAATGTTTTATTCATTGTGTCAGCTTTTTGTCAATGCTCTTCGACCATTATATGTTTGATGAGCTTGATTAAAACACACAGTTTGCCAGGTCAGTTAAAAAAATATTCATTACAAGATTAGTATAAACATTTTTATGGTTTCACTACTGATCAACGAACTGTTTCTGTTTTGGTCTGAGGATTCATATTGCAAACCTCTTGCCTTGCTGACTTTTCTGTTTCTTTGTGTTTTAGGGTTTCATCGTAATGAGGATATGAAGGCCATTGATGTGCTTCCCATCCTCAAGGAGAAGGTCGCCTTTCTCTCAGGTCAGATATAAACAATAACACCATATTTCCGTCATTTAAATTTCTCCTGCTTTATATGAACCTTTTTTTTCTTTTAGCAACATCATGTTATTTCCATTATGACAACTTTCCTCTTTTGTATTTAGTATTCATTTGTATATGTAGGAGCTCAGTGCTGTATGGTCATAGACTAAATATAAAAATGAATGACGAATCTCTTCTTCCTCCCACTAAATGAAGCTAAAATATTCCAGATATTCTGCCTTCCTCTTGCACACTTGTGGCTAAAGTCTGTGAAGTAGCGATTGGGAGATGACGCCGCAGTAACAACCTCCCCCCCAGTACACATGCTGGACCAATCGCGAGTCAGTCTCAGCTGCCAATCATGACGTTTCGCTGCATTTTCATTGCATCAAAAAACTAATAATTAAAACCAAACAGGAAAGAAATGAGCACTTGAACAAAGATCAGTGTGATAAAAACTACTTAAAATGACAGAACCCATCTTTGAGGAGGTGGCAGGATTTATGAGCTATACTGCAGTCAGCCACCAGGTGGTGATTGAAACACTTTGGCTTTACTTTTGGAAACATTCGCGTCATCCATGTTTATACACGTTCTACATGTGTTTTGACAGCAAGTTAAACTACTACTATTCCTACAACTATAAATGTCTCATTCATTCACTTGAATGCTACTTTATTTCATTACAAATATAAAATATTATATATGAAGTTGCTTCAGTTGTTCATACATGCACAGTAACACAGTTACGAGTTGTTTTTGCGCAAATTCATTCATAGATTTTAAAACTGAAAAACTATCACTACATTTTAACTCGGGTACAATTTTGTTGAACGCTACAATTTCCCTCATCGTAATTGCTACTTGTCGGGTTATTTATGTGCACTCGCTTATTTCTCTGTTCTGTTTCTGGCTCGTCGTGGCTCTGACCCGACCTTCACCTCATTACTGTTAACTGCACAGGCCTTGCCCTGATTGTAGGCCAGTCTGAGGAGAAGTGTTTTTTTTCTCCCTGGTCATTAATAGTCAGTGTTATTTGCTGCTGCAGTCTGACTGAAGGGCTATTACCAGCCTTGTCATTATGAGAGTAATTTGACCCCTGACTCTTCGATTTGACTCGGTACAGTCATAACTAACTGTGGACATATTCACAGATGGTCCCCCTACAAATTGGCTTCTGTCAACGCACAGCACTGCAGCACTCACCGCACCTTTTTGACTCTGTATTCTGTAGGTTGTGTGTTCCTGTTTATTCTGTCTATTTATTTTGCATGGCGTATAAGCTGAAAGTTCAACGTGGATTTCTCAAAATTCATGAATATCTGTTCTTTGTGGCTGCTCAGGCCTTGGACTATACACACATGTTTGGAAAGTCACAGACAGTGCTAGAATTGGTAATGGTTGTCTATGGTGTTTATTTAGTCTCAAAATTAGCGAACCATTAGCAAGTGCTCGGAACAGTTTCCGTGAGCAAGCATTTATGCTCCGTGTGCACAACTGTGGTTCTGTTAGCACGATGCTGAGACGTGTGCAAACTCAGCCTTCCCTTCGCAACCTTCGCAACTGCTCAACACCTTTTTGAGACTCTGGAGGTTGCTGATGCTCCCCTCCGTCGATTGATCATTCCCCAGCCAATCTCTGATCTTCCAACCTTCTTCATTTTTATGTAGCAATTAAAATTTTGTGGATCATTGCTGTCGACAAGCTATGCATTTCTGCTTGCCGATACTGTACTTTGTGCTTGCAGAGTAGAAAAACTCCCTCGTGAATTTGGTTTTGTGCTTGGGCGGGTGTGGTTTTTTACATGCCCGACTTTTGAGACTAGATAAACACCATAGCTGTCTCAGTAGATGTTATGGAATTAATATTTTCTGATTTCACCCCAAAGGCGGCAGAGACAGACGTGGAGGTCCTGTTCTCACCTTTCCAGCACGGAGCAACCATGACAGAATACGACCCGAGGACCTGCGCAGGCTCATAGCCTACCTGGCTACTATTCCCAGGTAGGAAAAAAACACACACGCATGGTTTCAGCGGAGGATTCAACTGCAGAGACACACACACACCCAATCTTACGCACATATGTTGACTTGTAGACCTTATTCTTGATCTTGGGGTTAATTTGAAACAGAGCCCCTTGGCCTTGTATGCAGAGCCCCTCACACACATCTCTCTGTCTCTGTGTCATATTTCCCCACCTTGCTTGGATTTAAAACACTGAGGCATTACCTGAGGCTACACGGAGCTGGGATTGTTTTATTTAGGATTCTCTGTGAAGGTTCAACTCCCCATCCCCTTTTCATTTCCTCCTCGTTCTCTCAAGAAAGAAAAAGATAACACTCCTCTATGTAGGTTGCCAGTCAAACAGCTCCATCTCTCTGTTATTGATAATGTCTGGTTGGAGTGGGTCCATTAAACTTTCATGGAGATCCACACTTTAGTCTTAAAATCTGTTTTCCTCCTCTGTTTTGTTTCACCATTTCATTGCGTTGTTGTTTGGGCCAGAGACTCCTCCAGGAGGTACGCACTGCACTGTATTTAGCCACAGGATGTTTTTGCAGAGTTGTTACAGTCCTGTGCAGGCTGAAGTGTAGAAGCATCTTTCCTTCACATTTAACACTTCGCTCCAGGCTTTGGAGTCAGTTGTGATTTTGGTTCGGGCTGGAGGGAAACCTGCAGTCTTATATCCCACTGCTTCTGATCTCCCCTGTGCAACACCTTCTATTGCGTTGCAGGTGTAGTGCTTTAAAGTCGATTTTTTTCAGTTTGTCTTGAGGTGAGAGGTGGTGTAGGTCCCTTACTACAAGACATGGATTGAGGTGTAATCTGTCTCTGTGCATTTCAGTCAGGAAAAGTTAGTATTACAAAAATATTAAAGACTCTTTTATTTTCCCACATATTTTAAAGATTTTGAAAGCTTTTCATTAGAGCAAAAGAATCCCAAAAAATGGTTCGTCAAGGACCCCAAGGATTATGATGTTTGGCTGTTAATTTTTATTATTATTATTATTCTTATATAATAAAACTAATCCTTTCCTATAACTTAAACCATCAGGTGTAAAAACACCAAAAGTAACAGTAGCTCTTTACATCTACATATTTAAGATCAAATAAAATCCTACATTGTCTCTTGTGTGAACAGATACCGTCTTCACTCATATTTGTGTTTTGTGTTATTGATTTAAACAGGACTGAATGATAAAACATTAACAATAATTATTTATTTTTCATCAATAGCAATGTAACACAGTGAGGAGGTATAACAGGTTATTGAACTAACTCAGATGTATTATTTATGTTTTTAAGTGTTTTTCATTCTCTGCTCGTAAAGAAGAGTTTAAAACCAAAACTTTCAGTCAGGGACAAAAATCAGTCTTTAAACTTGAAAGAATAGTAATTTGACATTAAACGATATATCAAGATTTTTATCTGGAAAACATTTTTGGACATATCTCTCAGCTGTTTGTTAGAAACGTACTCTTTGGCCATCTGCTTTTTGTCAAGTGCTTTTGGCCCCGCACCAGTAGAATGTATTAAAACCATGTCGTTTTTCATATTCTTCTCAATCGGGTAGCTTGCTGTGAATCTGGAAACACTGGTTGTAGCTCCTGTGAAAAACTCTTCCATGCCTCCCAGAGTCTGGGCTCTTCAGTAACTCCGTGAAGAGGTACAAGTAAGGAGGGCCTGCAGGAGGTGACCAGCCATACAGTGTGAGGCAGAGAGGGCACAAAGTGTCTCTAGCTCAGGAGGAGGTCAGCCTCTTTCCCTTGTCCAAATATTTCCCTCTTTCTCCTCTTTCTGTCACATCTCTCCCTCCTCCCCCCTCTCTCCCTCTCTCTCTCTCTCTCTCTCTATCTCTCTCCCTCTCCCTCTCCCTCTCTCTTGCCTGCTCTGTTTTTCTATACGCATTTGGCTGCCGATGTGTTTTCAGAGTGAGGTCAGAGTGAGTTAGAGCAGCGGGACCAGCGTCTGTTTCTGTGTCCTCGCTCAGACACGTTGAGATTAAAGCCTTTAACACTGAGAAACAACCTTTTATGGACTTTTACAGCAGCAGGTCTCCTGGTAAGCAGCAGTGGAAATTTCAACGCTTGAACGTTTTATTTTTTTCCCCCTCCTTCCTAGATGCTCTGGAGATTTACTCATGATTTCTGACTTCCACCTTCTTTTTCATTTTCGCATCTTCACAGTTAAAATAAGCGCTTTACAAAATTAATTATTTTAAAGTGAGTCTTTTTTGCTGTGCAGATTTATAGTGTCCATATTCCTGTTGCATGGGCAGTGATGATGATGATGTAACTCGATGGATTGACATTGATTCTTTTTGCTCATTCAGTGTCAAATCAATCACATGATGGAGTTTGTCCTGTACGTTGTTACAGTATAAACTCTGATGGTTTCACGTCAGCATTCATTCAAAAGTTAAATATCCTGCCTGTGTGTTCATTTGCTCTCTCTCCTGAAACCTGACCTCTTTATTTGTGTTTCTGCAGCGAGGAGGTGGCCCGACATGGCTTCACAGTTATCGTGGACATGCGTGGTTCTAAGTGGGACAGCATCAAGCCCTTGCTGAAGATCCTGCAGGAGTCTTTCCCTTCTTGCATCCACGTCGCCCTCATCATCAAGCCAGACAACTTTTGGCAGAAGCAGAGGACCAACTTTGGCAGCTCCAAGTTTGAATTTGAGGTGCGTGATGTTTTACATATTTCTAATACATTTCATTTTAACATTTTTACTTTGAGTTTTGTTGTCATTGTTGTTGCACATGAACCATTGTCCCCACTTTTATAGGTTTATAATGATTTCAACGTTTTCTACACAAGATGGAGATAGTGTTAGTGCTCACTGCGTCAGTGTGTTAAAAGATTAACATTTTGTCGTAGCTATTACAGTTAGTTAGTTTAACATCCCCACGGGTCTTATTTTATCAGGTCTAATAGGACTGCTGCTCGGTGACAGTGGCACTATTCTGTCCCGTGTGGGCATGTGGTGCTGGTATATTTAGGCCTGACCCAGTTACTATGGAAACAGGATATATGGGACATGGTGGAAGTATTCCATCTTAGAGAGTTGGGTTTGGACAAGACATTTTTTATTTTATTTTTTTAAACATGTATGTGTGTGATTATTACCAAAAGTTCAGTGGTTTGAGTCTCTTTGACATCACCTACTCAGAGCACTCAGAAGAAATCCAGCCCCAAATCTGACTCTTTATTTTGCACTGTCATGCCACTGTTTTTTCTAACCTGACGCCAGATGGTTTGTCACAAGAGCCACCTGAGAGGGCTTTGTTGGATGCTGTTTGGAAATGAGCAGGCGATATCAAAACAGTTCTTGGCAGGGGAATGGATGGACCATCTGTCTGTCACTGTCCGTCATAGTGGTTGGAGGTAATCGGGGCAAAAGCGAAAACATCTTGGTCTAATTAAAAAAGAACTCTCCAGTTCTTGTGCACTGATATCGCCATGAGCTGTCCTCGTTGTTTACGTAAAGTCACTTCTAGCTGTCATCACTTAGGACACAAATAGTTCCTCCTTTACCTGACATGGATTGGTCTGAACGACGGCCAGGCGAAATGGATTCTCGCTTGTGAGGAGGTTGTTTTCAGTCCACGGAACCTCAACAGTTTCTGTTTTTATAATCCTCAGAACTTTATATCTTTGTGTTTCCTTCTTATTAATGAAAACATGAACGCTGCGTAAAATGTCTGGAATGTTTGTTCTGGTCATACCACCTATCTAAACGGTTGATATACGAGGCCCCTGGTTCTACACATTGTTTTTATAATCTAGGGTTAATGGTGGGAAATATTTTGGCCTGTTAGCACTTGATTAGTTTGGAATATGTTGATGGTGACTGTCTATTACCCTGCTTTTATTTTTTCCTTTCCTATCAATCCCTTTTTCATTTCCTTTACCCTCCGACTTCATTCGTCCCACACACACACCTCCACAACAGACGGTGATGGTCTCCTTAGAGGGTTTATCCAAGATTGTGGACCCATCCCAGCTGACAGCTGACTTCGAGGGCAGCTTAGACTACAACCATGACGACTGGATCGAGGTTTAGATACTTTCTTTTTTGTGTTTATGTTTTTTAGAAGTTTTTCGACTTTTTTTCTTGGCTATGTCTAATACTTTACTGTCATTTCAGGTGCGGCTGTCATTTGAGACTTTTGCCAGTGATGCCACGCGTGCTCTGGCGCGCCTGGAAGAGCTCCAGGACACCCTGTCACAGCGCGATCTCCCCCGGGACCTGGAGGGAGCGCGGAGGCTCATGGAAGAACACTCCGCGCTGAAAAAAAGGGCCACTAAGGCGTCTGTAGAGGAGCTGGACACGCAGGGACGACGGCTGCTCCAAAGGCTACAGTTGCAAACTGCGGGAGGTGGTAGTGGCAGTGAAAGCGGGTATGGTAACCGGGCTGTTGGAGCCAGCGGAGACCCCAACGACCATCACCATGGTTTCCATGCAGACGCACACAACCTGGTGGCTAAAGTGACGGGTTTGTTAGATAAGTTGCACGGGACACGGCAGAATCTGCAGCAGCTGTGGCACATGAGGAAGCTGAAGCTGGACCAGTGTTTCCAACTGAGACTGTTTGAACAGGACGCTGAGAAGGTCAGAGTGCTATTCTTCTCTACTCTACTCTACTCTTCTCTACTCTACTCTATTCTACTCTTCTCTACTCTACTCTATTACATTCTTCTCTACTCTATTCTACTCTGTTCTATTCTTCTCTACTCTACTCTACTCTATTCTATTCTTCTCTACTCTGTTCTATTCCATTATTTTATATTCTATTCTACTCTACTCAACCCTTATCTATTGTACTCTACTCTATCCTACTCTACTCTATTCTGTTCTATCCTATTCTAATCTATTCCATCCTATTCCCTTCTATTTCAATTTCAACATGATGATAATTAACTGATGAGAACAAGATGAAATTGGTTCCCTGCTGCCTCTTTACTCTTTTGCCCCTCTGTGCCTCTATGTTAAAATATGCCAATGCTGCATTTCACTTCTTGATGCATGCAAATATTTTCAGGTCATCCAGGGGCTAATCGAGATGCATGAGCGTGCATACATGCCAGTCTTAGCTGGGTATTAGAAAACAATACAATAACTCAGTGTAAGTCTTCGGATCAACTTTCATCCCAATGTAGGCCAGATTAGCAAAACTGTGTGTATAATGGTAAAGGTTTAACAGATGGTGGACTGAACCTGCTGGTCGTTGTTGACAGAATGTCATATATCCTAATAATATAAATTCTTAAAAGCTTTTTCTGTAATATAAGATTGAGTCATGTGTGTTTTTGTGAAAGCTCTATGTTATATCTTGATCAATTATTATTTGAGCTGCGTGTGTGTGAGCATGTGAAACAGAATAAGTAAATGAGCGAGTGTGTGCCTGTGCATTGTCAGTGTTTCAGGAGAGTGTGACTGGGAAATGTAGCAAGCAGTATGAACTGTGCAGTGCTGGAGACAAATGCAGAGGGCTGCCATGTTTTCAGAGCTGAAATTAAAGGCAGCTTTTCCATACACCACACATGTAGAGAGTGAAGCATGACACACACACACAGATCTTATTCATTTATTCCTGCTGATTGCAGACAAGCTCGATCACAACTTGTCTGCGGAAGTCGGTGCAGTGATCATTGATGAACAGCGTTTCCTTCCTCTTTTGTCCCACGTGCAGATGTTCGACTGGATAATGCACAACAAGGGGCTTTTCCTCACCAGTTACACAGAGATTGGAGGAAACCACCAGCACGCCGTCGAGCTGCAGACCCAGCACAACCATTTCGCTATGAACTGCATGGTAAGACTCCGCCTTTGTCTTTGTCATTGTCATGCACACACACACAGACGATGTAATCACAAACTATCATCATTACTGTCAGTCACACCAGTCTCACACCACTGTACAACCACCACACACACACACACACACACACACACACACACACACCATCCTGTCCTTTGGGCTTTGACTTGCTGCTGAACGATATTTCCGCTGTCTCGCTCATATTATTTAGCTCTGCCCCACTATGTTATATCATGTCATAGTGCTATTCACATAATTTACCCATACTGCCTCGATACCCCTCCCATGGCTGTTTGCTGCCCTCTGCTGCTCTGCTCCACACCCCTTCCATCCCTCCCATCCCATACCTATGCCTGTTGGTGTCTATTACAGACATTACACTGAGATTATTCCCCTTATTTTTATACACAGCATGTGATCGCTGTGCTTGACAATGCTAGTCATTCTAACTCGCTGCTAGCCAACATGTAAGCCCACTGAGAGTGTGCAGCACTTTTGAAAACCCTCATTTAGTGGCCCAAGTGTCTCAAAGAGAGGATGGAGAGAGGCCCATTTTACCTGTCTGCACGGCAATGGATATAAATGGATGTAATAAGAAGGAAAACAAAAAACTTGCCAAACTTGTTCAGCCCATTACTTCTGATTTGGACAAAACACCTCTCACTGTAATTATTGTAAAGTGTAGCCAAGGGAGAGCAGGGCTTCTGGCCCACATCCTCCACTCATACGCCTTTTCCACAAGATTAGCTCTGATTCCTTAACAGGTTCCAAGATTCTTAGGATCTTGTTGTGCCCAGTGAACCAGCCCATGTTTTCATTGCTGTAATCAAGGATGCATCATTAATAGAGGGCGTTTCACATTACACAATGAAAGTAAAGGCTGGTACTAACTGCTAAGGAATGTACAGTATGACTCGTGCACTGTTGTCACAGTTATTTTGTGGTTCCTGATGAAAATCAACCTTTTTGGGTTCTTAATCAATTTATTTTTGCTGTTAATGCTCCAAACCCAGAACTGAACCCATTCCATGTTGGTGGATAAGGGGGTACCAGAGTTTCACAGTTGGCAGGGAGCAGTGTCAATATAAGGGTCCAGGGTCAGCATCAGTGACCACCCAAAGGCAATTGTGTCAACACTGCTGGGTTGAGATGAACCAATAACCCCTGAAACAACAACAGTAGAAAGGACAGATGGAACTAAATTATAGTCACATACTGTATTTTCACAGTACACACACACACACACACAAACAACAGCCGGGTAACCACCGCCCCCTCCACCCATTCTTCCACAGGAAACTGCATTTCCCCTTCCTGTTGCCTCAATGGGAATACAAAAGTGTGTGTGTGTGTGTGTGTGTGTGTAGAGGTGTTGGCTGTGTCCTTTTGTTTGTCGCGACTTCAACATTGCTTTTGCAGTATTTTTATCAGGGTATTTGTGAGGGTAGGATTAAACCGAATGCTAAGGTGCCATGTATCTATCATCAGCATCTATAGTGTTGCTACAGGTTCCTCCATTGTTGAATTGTGCCTCTGTTGTTGAGCGGCTGAGTTTAATGTATGAATAAAACACCTGAATGACATCAGTTGATACAAATGATGCAGAAGGGACTTCAAGAGACCGATTTTTATTTATTTATTTTTTAAAGGGAGCATTGAACAGAAGAGTCAGCCAAGTCCGACCTCCCCCAT